CTGCCGGTCAGCGCCTCCGAGCCCGGCCCTGCAGGGAGCCCAGAGCCAAGAGCACAACACAACACAACAGACAAAAAGGCTGCTGATGTGGGGCTGTGGATTCAGGGTGCATAGGGACCCCCCTCCAGTAACTGCTTCTGCTGGGGTGCTGGGGACTTCAAGAACCAGAAAGGGCTCACCATGCAGAGGAGCACATAGCGGCCTAGGCCTGGACGGCCTGCGGGTATAAGCCCAGACCCCTTCCCTCCCCCCTGCCCCAGACACCTGCCCCAGGGCACAGGGGAGATGCAGCCGTCTGAGCTCGCAGCTGGCCGTTGCCAGGAGTGGGCAAGCTGTGGTATCTGACGAGCAAACGGACTGTGATGCATCATCCACTGGAGCGCTGTGAACTCTGGTCTTGGTGCATTGTGGGATGCTGGCATGACTGTTTTCTTGCTTTGTGTGGAGGCATGTGTTGCAAGGTGGCATGGAGTGTGCTTCGGTACCCTGTTACCTTAGAATGTCTGAGTGGAGGAGCTGTTCTAAGGCCGCGCTGCGGTAGGGAGTCTGGGTGGAGGTGGGAATGGGGAGTGTGAGTGCTCAACCAGGAGTTGGCTGCCAAGGCCGGGGTGGTTTTCCCTCCATAGCTGGCTCTTCCCGCCACCGCAGCAGCTTTGTGGGGGAGTCTGCTGGTGGGTCTCTAGCTGTCCACCCTCTCAGGAGACTCCCCTCCTGGCGGTTCAAACCCCACACACACACACACTCGCCCCTGGTCAGGGAGGGGGTCTCCAATTCAAGTGACAGCCCCCTCCTTTGGGCCTAATCCAGCGAAGGGTGGGGCTCCTGCCCCCCGCAGCTCCTTTTCCTTTGGGTGGAGAAGTGGGACTGGGAAGCAAAGGGGGAGGGGGCGGGCCAGAGCTCTGCCTTTTCAAATGCAACCGGAGACCAAAGGCAATTAGATCATTGGGACCATTTCCGACCTGGCGCCACCGAGCCAGGGAAGTGACAAGGTAATTTGGACCTCTGACCGACGTGCAAACTGGTCGAAGGGCCTCAGCACCCAGGCGGCCCGGCTCAGCCTCGATTTTACGGTTTTTTATGGACTCCCCGCTTCCGCGCCTGGATGCGCCTTACACCCCGCCAGCCACAAACTGCCGGGACCCGCGTTTGATCTCACTCACGCCTGGGGAAGGTATCTCCCAGAGGCAGTTGAAGCAGAACCACAAAACTCTGGGGGGTTGGGGTGCATTTTAAATCCCCCTCAAGCCCAGGGCTTTCGTCTCACCCCACCACCACCACCCAAGCCTAGCTGTCACCCTCAGTCCCGCCTATGCCAGAGCGCAGAAGGAGACCCCACGAGGGCGCAGACAGCAGGGGCGAACTGCTCAAGTGGGCCCCCAGCCACCCTGCCCGGGAGAAGGGAGTCACCCTTCCCTCCAGAACTGAAGTGGAAGGTGGGCGCGGTGGGAGGCCCGAAAGGGGGCGGTGGCTACCTTTGCTGTGCTGGTACTCGGCGTTGCCCGTGGCGCAGTCCGGGGTGCAGCTCACCTCGATTTCTTCATAGAAATCCGATTCCGTGTCCGAGCTGCTGGGTTGCCCCTGGCCCGAGATGCTGTCGGCGGC